GGTTCGAGATGGATCTCGATCACTCGATGATTTGCGCTGAAGCGGGCGCTCTTTCCGAGGATTCTTCTGAAGAATTTCTTTGAGTCTTTCTGCGACCTTCACATGAAGGAGCAGCACAGGCATCCCAATATGCAGCTACAGGCCGCGCAAGATGGACACACAGACCTCCCCAGACGTTCCTCTCTGAACTGCTTTGCGCCAATACTTCCGCGCATAAGACAGGAGATTCGACAGGGTGTACGCTTCCTTATACACAACATGTACTAGAGCAAGCCAGCATGCATCGAGTGAGAAAGCTGCACATATGCAATGTTAAAGAAAACCGCCAAACGACAGACGATCTCCACCGTTTCTTCTCTCGCTTGTTCAGCCCAGAACATAAGGTTCCCTGAGCATCTCGATCCAGACGCTCAAAAACATTTTCCAAATATGGGATAGCGAAGTCACCTCAATTTCTGCACCATGAGTCTACATGAAAATGGGAGGAATAACTTCACAATAGAACAGTATAGTAGAAGACTGGCAACGATTTTTGGGTTCTTTTGCAGCAAAGACACCTATGGGGGAGATTGAAAACATGCCGCAGACAAGGTTCAGGTATTGCTGCAGGTCTTTCAAGACGATGTTCCCTGTATCTTCGATCTTGCCAAATAACGTCTTCTCCACTCCTTTTACACGAGCACACTGGACGAAAGCTTCGACAGCAAGATGTTGTTTCAGCAAGCCTCAGCACAATCCTTAAAACCAAAATACTGCGTGAGCTTAACAATTGGATATTGCAAGGCCCACATTCATTATGGCAGGCAAGATGCCAGCAACGTCACTCTCACGATTGTGAAGGTACTCCATGGCACCAGCTTTTAATCAAAGGTTTAATCTTCGCAGAAATAAAATTGCAAATGCCAAGGACCTAACAGTATAGCTCTGTCTATAGGGCCTATGCATCCATCAAGCACTTGAACAGCACCAACAGTATGCTGCATTGAGCCACGCTCGTTCAGGCCGCTTCAGTGGTACAGGCTTTGCAAACAGCGGTCAGCAATCTTTGTCATGCAAGTACTGCGCACTGCCAAACATACCCACACACACAGCAACTATCCCAAGTTGAGGCTGCATGCAAGGTATTGTTGCAGCACCCGCCCAGCCTTGAGCAGCTTGCGATATTCGCGGCATACAAATCCACGCAGCATCCCAGGTATTCCCATTGCATTATACATCGCAGCAAGGCAGCCATGTGTGTCCCGACACTGTAATCAAAAGGTCACACCTTCCGACATTGACTATGGCAATGATTTCAGGGGTGCCTGCAACATGATAATTGTTGCGCTCAGAGTATATGGACAATATCTGACAACCCTATAAAATCTACTAGGGGATCGCGTACATGTGTACATTTCTGAGATCAAGATCATCTTCTGTCACGCTGGGAAGCACAGCCTGCCACAGAAGTCTCATGTGAACATGTCTGAGGCTGCAGGGCCAGCCTCCTGAACCTTATCCCTTATTCCCATGGTGTTTCATAAACCCAATCCCCTTGTCTAGTCTTGACCCAATCCTCGTATCCAATCTTGATTGAAACCGCTGAATTAACACCTGTTCCTTGCCATAGGACACAGCAGTATACTTACATTATCATGATATGGTGGTTGTCAAGTCATGGACCCTGTTTGGAGACTGTATACAGTACAGCATTATGTGTATGCATATTCCAAATAAGTTTTGTTTTTGACAACTCCCCCTCAGGAAATGTATACACCCAAGAAGCAGTCATCTGAGGTTGTAGTTAGGGGGTCTTAGTTTTGGCGGGGCCTCGCGGGGTGCGCCGGGTCATCGTGGGGCATCCCGGGTCTTGATGTTATAGCCAGGGGGGCGCGATTGAAGAACAGTGAGCCCCCGGGTTCTACTAAGCAAGCCCCCGGGCCATGCTTCGGAGACCCCCAGGACCCTTAGGGTACCCTTTTTCTCCTGCCTTCCGATGCTCGGCCAAGATCAGCTCTAACGGCCGATAGTCGTGGTTGAAGCAGCAGTTGGCATAACAATTGCCGCTCAAGTTGAGTTTTCGGGAATTCCCGAAGTCGGCCAACACGACCCGAGTCCGGCCGTGAACCAGCCAGTTGTTGGTCTTCACGTCCAAGTGCATCATTCCCCGATCGTGCACGAACGCCAAACCGGCCAAGCATTGTTTAAAGAAACGACCGAGTTCTGAATAATTTATCGGCCAATTCTCCTCGTCCGTGCACTTCATGGACTGGGCCAGCTCGTAGAAGTTGCAGTCAGCTCGGCTCATGACCAGGCCTGCCCGTCATGTCCGTTCGGCTGCTGAAGCCTGACCGCCGGGATGCTCTTCATCGGAACGACGGATTTTGACGGCCAAGTCACAACCGTGCCACTTGCACGCCCATACTTCACCATGTCCACCGCGGCCGAGTAACTCCAAGAGATCCATGGGAGTGTTGTTCGTGTAATGAAAACGGCCGTGCTCGTGACTCGAAGCCGTTCCAGCCTGCGAGCTTTCGGCTTTCCTCTTCCGGTTCCGGCCGTTGGCGCCCCCGGCACTTTCCTCTTCTGCTTGAAGTCGGCCCTGCCGAAGACTCAGCTGAAACTGTTTGCGAACGGCCGCCTGTTCTTCGTATGCTTGTCGAGCCCGCCTGGTGTACTCAACTCGGATGTCCGTCCGCTTTTGCCTTAGTCTTTCAGTATGCATTTTACCGCTCTACTTTTAAGATTTCAACCAATTATACTGCATGCATCACAATGATTCGTCACAAAGACACACCCAAAATGTTATTGAAGCAAGACCGTGATTCCATTTCATCCGGTAGTGTTCGAAGCTTCGCACGCCCGTTTTGCATCTCAGTCGTCTTCTGGAACCTTCAGCGACTGTGTTCATGTGAGCCTCGGCCAGGAACAACGACCATGCCGATGGCAAATTCCGCAAACCGACGTCCTTGTTTTTGGGACGCCCGCTCACCATGGCGATCTGTGGACAAGAACACGACCTGACTACTGTGCCGACGACCGGACCTCCGATTCTTTCCAACTACACCACAACACGCTTCTGGCTTTTTCGCATCATGCACAAGTTGATTCATGCAAACTTGGGCTTTGGGCTTCAAAAACCTCACTGAATGCAGTCGATCATGCATGGCAGCCCGAAAAACGGGTTTGCAAGCTTCACCAACGGGCAACACTCCGCATTTCCTCTTTTTTGCACGGCCTACAAATCCTCTTTATTGCACGGCCTACAAAAACGACCGGCGCCCTGTTGGCGCGCTAGCCGAAGTGTCCTTCCGCGATGCCTCGATGAAGAAAACGACCTGCCACCACGGCCTCCAGGTACCCTCCCACCATGCGCAA